ACTGGTGGACAAACTCCTTCACAGCAGGGGGGCAGAGAGGACGTGCAAGGCTCTGCCCAACGAAGCTCTTTGCACTCGTCCCAGGAAGCGGGAGCTGATCACTCCTGTGTACCTGCAATTTTAACTCCATTCGTTTCCCTTCATCAGTAAAGTGCTAATGAGTTTTCCTCGGTCTCACCCATGTTAAACAATACTGTTGATGCGGACTCCTTCACCTTTCCGTTTGCAAGTCAAGGTCTAGTTCCTGCAGCCGGTAACGTAATCACTAGAGTGGATTACCGCAACTGATTTAGCTCTTGCGAGCATCAATCTAAGTGGGTGGGTGGGTGGGTGTGCATCCGTGCGTGGAGTGCGTGGGGTGTGAAGGTCTAGTAGCTTCTTGCTCCTAGTAGCGATGGCCTACACACTGGGCTTCCTCACCCGCGGGCGCCGGTCTCTCACCTCGGTCTTCGCATCGGTCACCTGACCACGCGGACCCAGAGCTCCGGCGTGAACCGAAGCTCCAAATGGCTCAGTTGCTTTTGGTGGGCCATTGGTTTCATACACACAAACTTTGTACAATGGAAAATGAGATATCATGAGATTACATGAGCCATCATGAGTCTATTTCAGCAAACTGTGCTTGTTAGGGGGGATTGAAATTCTGACCCACACCCTGTGCTGTCTGTTTGGTTTGTGCTGTTTGATTCCCTGGAATGATCTATATCTACAAACAAGAGAACGGCGTCGGTTGGCCAAGGTTCATTCAATATGACACAGTGTATTTCCAAATTCCCATCTTTAATCCCATATTCACATTCAATCAATGGTGATTGGTTCTGCAAACTCAGGGAAAGAAAGGGTAGCGGTAAGGGCCTGGGGGCAATAAATCCTCCTAGAGATCCCAAACAAGGCATCTACAGTCTACATGCCAATGTTGGGGGTACATCCCATGACCAGTAACAGTGGATGATGATGGTTAGTAAAGGCCTTTCTTCAATATGATACTTCTTTTTCCGACTGTTAAAGGTCATGGGACAAACCGATTTCTCGCAAATCAGTGTCCCCCTGACACCCCCAACCTCTCCCCAACTGCGCCTCGATGGTCAAGTCCCAACTCTTCCCCGGCGCAGCCGCCGAGGCGACCGAGGCCGCCGGTGCCCGTGCGACACGCGCCAGGTTAGGCGTGAGGTTGCTGGGTGGCCCATCGGCCTCCGAGCGCGGGAGAGTTGGACGTTCTCGAAATACTAGTAGCTTCTTATTACTAAGAGCGATAGCCTCCAACCTAGGGATTGGAATTGGAGTTGGATCATGTTGGATCTTTGAAAGCAATGCCCTCTGGACGTTGGATCACGGGGGGTTCCACGGCGGCGATCAGGTTGCTTGGCATGCGTGTTTTTTCACCGCCGAGGTGATTGGATGGACTTCTCTTCCGGGCTGTGGGCGCCGGACTCGATTTTTACCAGCGGAGAGCCGATCGCTTTCGCCAATCGAAAGCCGTGTGAAACTGCAAGTGCAGCCAAGGAGGTTCGAGACTCGCCAGAGCCCAGCATGCCCCCTACTACTCATACTACCTTTACTTCCATCTGCCAATGTTGACACAAGCAACCTTGTGGGTAATTGTGGGTTTGGAGCCTATTCAGCTGAAAAGAAGAGACCCTAGTGTCGCAACCGATCCTTATACTAACCCTATCTGCTGAACTCACTCAAAAATTTGCGAGAGAAAGAGAGAGAGAGAGAAGAAAATAGAAATAGAAAGCTAGTAATAAAGACATTAAAAAGGGTATGTTTAAAGGATCTCCCCTCCACCTCTCTTTCTCTTTCTCTCTTTCTCTCTCAGCAAAGGAGAGAGAGAAAGAGAGAGCTCGCACAATTTTCCACAGGCGAACCTCCCATCCCACTTCCAACATCTTCCAACCGACGCCCACAAACGACCCCAGCCGCGAAATCAGATCCCACCCCTGCGTGGCTCTGATTCCCGCACCGGTTCCCACATGGTCGTCGACCGGTGGTCGACCACCCGCCTCAACTCCATCCTCGAGGATGAAGGTCTGCTGCTTTCTTCGCATGCCTGCGGATCCCAAAAGGCGGAGAAAGCAAACAGATTGCATCGTTGGATCAACCGTTTGATGAATCAAGGTGGACCAAGGCTTTATGGAATAAACATCGACGATGGAAAACTTAAGTCTGATCTATTCCGGAATCCCAAAATTCGATAAAAGTCGATCTTTACAAGGAAACATGTTTGGGATTCGCCACCCCATTCTATCTTCCAATAAGCTGAAACTGAAACATATACCTATACATGCATATATATATATATATATAGCAAGAACCCAAGCAGGTGGCTTCCCCATGTTCACAGCTCAAACGAGTGAAGGTCCTCCATGGCACCTGCCTGCGCCCACCTCACCCCGGAAGTGCGGCAGCCTCGGTGCGGCTGCCATCGCCAGGCTGTCGGAGTTGGGTAACGCAGGCGAGAAAAGACCCACTTCAAATCAAAGGATAAAAATCAAAGGATAAAAAATGGAGAAGACCCCTACCATCACACCTACTCTTCAAATATATTTCAAACGAACTTGAATGTGACTCTAGGGGAATCTTCTCCAAGATCTAGACTTGACCTTGGGATTTCTGGTGTTGGTCTTGGGACCTTTGTTTGGTGAGTTCCTTGTTTCATCGACCGCTTCTTCGTTCACCACCTGGTGGCATGGGGATTTAAAGAAAAACGATCATTTCAACAGGCTTGTGCTTATCGTCCTACAGGACTTCTTCCAACAGCTTCCAACGGAATGGAAGATTCACCAGCAATTTGATTGAGTCTTGACATGTCTTGACAACATACAACCACCTCGTTTCAGGAGACTGCTTCTTCATGAGCGACAGCTTTGCTGCTCAGTAGGGCGTTCGTCACGTTCTGGTGCCGATGGGAAAGGGGAGGAGGCCTGACATCCATCTTCACTCCGGACATCCATCGTGTCCCTTTGCTGGGCATTTCAGCCAACCTTGAGAGGCTCCTGCGCATGGATTCAGTCCGATTCTGTCCTCTGTGCGACGATTCAGTCGCATCAATTCTAATTACTAATAGCTTCTTGTTTCTACTAGTAAGGCACTTGTTACTAGTAGCGATGCACTTGTTCCTAGTAGCTTCCTAAGAGAATCAAGAAATCAATGGAAAATGTTTGCCCAGATTCATCCACCGCAGGCTGTTTGCGTTGGGCGGCCCTGACTCAAAGGAGGCTTCGTAGAGATTGTCCTGCGCTGTCGCTTCGCCCCAAAAGGAGGCGCTCTCACCGGATTCACCGAGGAACAATGGGTCCGGTGCTCTTCGGTTTGCGGGACAACTCGTCCATGAAAGCTCATGAAAGCTCGCTGGTTGGATGGGAAAAGGATCGGACCCCTGGTGTGGGGCCCACTGGTATGTGGATGGACGTTTAATTTTGAGGTCATCCACACAGAAATCCTATCCACATGCTGGACGGAGTGATGAACATGAGTGAAGAAGTTCACCAAAAAGGACCATGCTACACTCCCAAGAAAATCAATTCAACTGTTAAGCGTTCGCAAGTCACCATGTATCAAGGCAAACAAGTTGAATGAGTGTGGGTGTGATTTAGCATGATCAAACATCTCTCGGCTTTGCTCTGGAATGGTCCCTAAATATGTGTGCTTTCGGCAGCGCGGCGGCGCGCTGAAAAGCCTCGCTTCCACCGAGAACCAGACTCGCCTCTTCGATGCCTGCCAGGCTTTGTACGCTTTGCCGCGCCTGGCGCGCGATGATAAATGATCGATGAAGAGAAAACCTGCAGAACCCCCATGGCGACGATGACGGGGAAAGAGGAAGACGTGCCAAGTCCGACGATCCGACTTCGAACGATATCACCAATTCGTGGAGTTCGGTTGGCTCTTTGGAGCAATCATTGACGTTGCCGGATTTGAAATCTCTTAGATTCATTTCAATATGTTGGGTATATCTCCATGATGGTTCAGTTGCAGGCCTTTCTCTAAAATAATTTAGGAACAAGGGCATCGCTACTAGTAACAAGGGCATTACTACTACGAGCATTCTTACTACTAGTAACAAGAAACTACTAGGAACTTGTGTACCCTCTCAATATCTTTCATGTGACCTGTTGCCGCCTTCGGATCGCCCCAGGCACCAGCACCAGCGGCTCCGGGCGCGCCCGGTAAGGGCCTTAGGTCGGCGTTGCCCGATGTGCCACTGAGGTCGGCGAAGGTGGTGCAAATGTAGCTCTTCAAATCGAGAAGAGCTAAGATAGCTAAGGGTCTGGTATCATTCCAACTGCTCTAGGAGAGAAGTCATTATGAAATCCACTGAACATCTCATCGTGAGATGAATCTCACGCCTGAGAACTTCGGTCAGATTTTGGACAGATGCTACACCTGGGGTCCAATCCATGTCCTGAAATTGACGTCGTTACTGTATCCTCTCGGCAAAAACCAACAATGCTGGCAGCAGTGCCCTGGAGGCAACCGAGTGGGGTGGGTCGTGCTCCATGTTCGGAGAACAAGTCCGCAAAATGCCGAAGATGACATGAGAAAAATGATTTGCCTTCTGAACAAATTGTGGAGACCAAGCCGGACCAAGCCTTCATCTACCAAATGGAACATGTTCTTCTTCTTTTTCCAAACCTGCATGGTCATGTCCTTCCTGCTCTCAAAGGAATGAAGAAAGATCGATGTTCGCAGAACATGACAAACTGCACACGTATTCCTATGACGTGGGGTGACCAGTCAAACAACTCTCACCTGTTGAGCCTCTCCAAGTGTATCAGCTGTATGCTTTCATGGGGATCCAAAAGGAATCGATTTCACCACCGAAGTAATGGTGAAATGTGAGGATCATAGTATGGAAGGGGATCAGAGTCGAAGTCAAAATTATATAAGCTTGTCAAACTGCCCATAGCTCACCAAAACATGCCTTACCAACCAACCTCGTTGGGAGGGAACGCTCTCTCTGTCGTGAGGAAGGATAAACGCTTTCAGGGTGCTAACCGCTAGGGGATACAGATATAGCAGCAAAAGAAGTGCAAACTACCCAGCTTGAACCCCCAAGGAACTATGAAACACCTCTGCACCTGGGCTCAACTGCTAAACAACCAACTATTGCTAATTCTTTCCATCAAATTATAAGATCATATAAGATCTATATACTGATCTACTTCAAGTCTCTTATTAAGACCTACTTCTACTGATCTACTGATCTACTGACCTGAGACCGGAGACCCCTGCCTCGCTTCCCCACTTCCCCTTGACCAGCGACTTGCCCCTGTTCGCATCTCCAGCCCTGGCGAAGATTCGTGTGACTTCTACGCCCCCAGAGAGAGGAAAGCCAAGAGTTGTAAAACAAAAATTAAAACAAACAGGCGCCCTTGGGCCATAGAAAGCCTGTTTTTGGATCGTGCCCTTTTGCAACGATGGAGTGTCATTGAGGTACACTCCCCCGTCATGAGTTGAGATGAGTTGCTTGGCCCGTGCTCACTTGTGAAGACTTGGTTGTGCAGGGATTCGGGCTTGGATTTAAAAATGGTTGGTCTGTGCGTGTTCGTTTGGTCCTTCCTTTGGGTGCACAAGTGGAAACATCTCGAATCTCAGGTGATCCGCCCAGCTCATCCAAGTTCCTGTTTTTCCGCCTGCCTGGAAGGAAGGGAGCCACCTCAGGAGTCCAACCCGCAGTTCGAAGTTCACTGTTTCTTTTTTCAGCGACAATGGCAGGTCGGACAGGAAATGTCAAACCTGTGACTCAAAATGACACAAGTCATCTATCTGCCCTTTCAATCGAGCAATTAGGTGCTCATGTCCTCCCTTCATCTTCAGTCACGCCCTTTGAGATCAAATGAAATATGAACAAGCCTTGAACAAGCAGAGAAGTTGCTCCAGACCTCTTCACCTCTTCAAAGAAGATCCCATCCAGAACTGACCGATCTTTTCCCACCGGGAAAACCACCTCAAAACACCACCAGAACACCAGAGCACCTACCGAAACACCATGCCTCAATGTTTCCGGTCACCACGCAGAAACGGCCGAAACCAGCACCAGCCGCACCAGCTGCACCAGCCGCCCCACGGCCTGACCCTCCCTGGGAATCCAGGCCCGACGCCAGGTCCAGGCGTTTCGGTGCCTGGGGTGGTCCGAGTCTGCCCGACGCGTCTCTCGACGCCTCGAGACGACGGTCTGGGCAAAGACCCCACCGTGGCCCCAAGGAACGGGTCGAAAAACGCCATTGCAGGAAGTAATCGCGCATTCAATAACCTAGGCAAGTGCAAACTGGACATGAATTGTTTTTTTCATGTCCAGTTTGCACTTGCAGGAAGTAATCATGTGGTGCCATGGTTTAGTTTAGTTCCATGCGCTCCATCTCAGACCTTAAACACCCTTGGGTCAAATCACGTTGTTTGAGACATCTGAAGGTGGGTGACTCATCCATGATGATGTCATACCTCTCAGATCGTCCACAACGGCCGCCCACGGCCGTGGAAAAACCGATGGCGGTGCCGGCCGTGGTGTGCCGGCCGTGGTGTGCCGGCCGTGGTGTGCCGGCCGTGGTGTGCCGGCCGTGGTGCCCATGGCCCGGCCCCGCTACACAACTCCTTCCAAGGAACGGGAAGCCGCTCGTCCAGCAGCAACTCCTGGAGAACATGGAAGTCTATCTAAGCCACATGAGAATGATGCAAACACATAATATCTTATAATATAGACAGCCCGTGATAGCCCAACCTCATTTTCAGCTTACTCCACCATCCTCCACCATGTGGAGGCCGAGAATCGCTTTCGTGTTGCCGCATCTGGGTTTCAACCCACCGAGGAAAGCTCAACAACGTTCTGCATGCTCAATGCGGCTCCAGACCATTCGAGGAAAAAGGACTGAGGATTCTCTCCAACTCTCTGAACACAACGAAACCCCACAAAACCTGATTCATCTGCCACAAAACCCCTCAGAACCCATGTGTGGAAGCCCAGTTTGAGCCAACTCTCTGGGTTGCACTACGGGAACCACCACGTGTGGCAACTGGTGTGTTTCACTGAATCTGTTTCACCTGACATCCCCAAAACCAACAAAAGCTAAAACACCCTGCCATCCACTTGCAAAACATGACCTCTGCCCTTGCAACATGACCTTTTCCGCCGGAAAACCGTCCCACACATCCCCTCGCCTCAGCGAGGCCATCCAAGGCGTCGTCCAAGCCTTCCGGTTTGCCTGAAGGAACGGCAGACTTCGCGGAGCACCAACCAGCGGAGCGAGACCGTCGTTCGTTGGAGGTCGAAGCAACGTTCGATGTCCGGGAGGCGGCTGAACGGTATGTTCGCATCGCTTCGAAACAGAGTTCGCTGGATCCCCAGCCGAATGTATTCAGAGGTGGTCTCTATTAAGAAGCAATGGACCACGAAATGACATGAAAAGATTCCGTCCTCGTACAGTACGTAGACAGAATTGTAAGGATCTGCAAGAAACCCACAGTCGCAGAGCATTTTCCCGGCCATCAACAAATCAAGCCCAAAAAGACAGGGATGAAACAGGTATCCATGACTAGAATGTCATTGGTCCGCTCGCGCGATCGCCTGTCTTCACCGGCTCTGGCCGCTCGACCTCCTGGCCCAGCGACTCAAAGGAGAGAAAGGAGCGCAAGTCAAAGACTCAAGCGAAAGCAGCAAGGAGGTGCGACAGCAAGGAAGGAGGTCAGCAGCAAGGAAGGAGGTGCCCCATATGATTTTCGCCTGACCCATTTGGATGAATCTAAAATAGGTGAGTGTTGCAGAACATGGTGAGTTCCCACCGATCGTCTGTATGCTTCTTTCTCGAAAAGCGAAGAGACTTCTTGGTACTGTCTCGTTCCGTCAAACTTGCTCAGGGGCAGAGTTTCCGAAACATATAAAGGTGACCGTCCACAGAACAATTCTAAAACCTAAAAAATGTGCATTTGGCCCAAAAATCAACAGCTTGAGACCACAGAACCCTCCTTTTCCGACTCTACTAACTGCGTGTTGGTATTTGCAGTGCTCCTCCAAAACTTGTATTCTCAAAACAAAAAAGGTGAATTCAAATTCAAACCAAACGAGGCACGGGTGCTTCATGCACCAACCACCCTCACGGCAAGAGGCTTAGGGCATGACTATGTACCATGTGTTTGAATGATCATAAAGTGCCTTGGAAATGATATGAGATAAATACCAAGGATGGTGCCGTGGAACACAGGGCACGTGAGACGATTTCATCAACCACCACAGTCCACGTCTAGTTTCATCGATCTAGCTTCATTCAGCTTTCAAGAGGTGATTGTTGAGTATCATCTTTGCAGGGTTAGAACCCACATGGAAGTGAGTCAAAACCAGGCCTACCAAGGTCAAGCGACACGGCGTCACAAGCATGGACTCCGTGTTCGTGGGGTGGGGGGTTGGGGCTCCAGGTTTTGACCCAGCACCACATCTCTTAAAATCTATCCAGGTCCATCCTCGATTGGCGTACTTGGAGCTGTCTTGTGTTCAGACCTGGCTGTGCTCACAACAACAAAAACACGGCCATGCGAAATGTGCTGAAGCTGCGTTGACTGATCAACCTAAAAGAAACTCATCAAAAAATGTCGCTCCAGTTTTCAACATCACTTTGGTCCGTCTCCTTCCTAGAGAGCCTAGGACTTTGCCTTCCCCGTTAGACCGGGAGGCCTCGAGTCTTTCAGAGGTGGGGAAAGGCTCAGCCTGAGCGTCGCTTGGCGATTGCTTGACTGTTTCGAGGTGCTGAAAAACTCAGAACTCACTCCTGAGAGGAGCTAGCAAGATTCGCTAGAGGAGGGAGGAGCTCAGGTGAGGTGAGTGGGAAGCGTGCCCCCCTAAAAAATTCACTTTCGAGGAGCCACTAAAAGGATCTAAGAGGGAGAAGCGAATCGCAAGGAGCTCGCTCCCTCGAAAGGGAGAGCGTGCCCCCCCTTTAAAAAATATGCTGTCATGAACAACCTGTCATCTCAAGGGAGAGGCTCTTTGCTGATTCGGATACCCCAGGTATCTCTATGGATGAATTCCTTCCTTTCACATCTTACGCATCTGGAGAAACCCAAAACGCAAACCGGCGCGGTAAGGACCAGAACACATCCGCTTCTGAACGGTGCACGATTGTTTCGGCGCCGGGCACATCCGGTAAGACCTGATCCCAGTCCTTGGCCTCGGTCGACGGCCGACAGAGTCGGCGGAGTCGGCACGGAGTCGGCTGCAGGAGGTCTAAGCAGGCGCCTCTAAGGTCGCCTGCCCTGGGAAGAGCCCTGCTATCCAACATGAGAGACGATGAGTTTGCGAACTGGGCACAAAGAGGAGAAATTAGAGCTAATGCCATGGAGCAAAATATAAGCCTTTCGTTCCTGTTCGTTATATACCCCGTTGGGTTTCTTTGGTAGGTCGGGTTGCCCATTGAACATACCGGTGACGAAGTCTTTCGATGGCATCTGGATGAGCTTCCACAAGGCTACTGTCCATCGATGTGCAGGTTCATCTCGCGGCTTCACAGTTCTCCCAATCAAAAGCCCCGTCAACGACCTTGCCTGGCGGCCGGCCATCGCAATCGAGATTGCTCGTGTGAGATTGCTGGTGTATGAAGCCCCAAAACCCCAATCTGGCGGAGTTGGGAACTGGTCCGAGTTCCGTCGCCTCCTGGTTCCTTCCGACCGGTCCGACCCCTCCATCCACCAGCGGTCCGGACCCTAAAGGGTGTGCTCTGCATGGGCGAGGCGCTGGCGATGACACCGGCGCCCAGCTGCTTCCTGTGGAGAAGCGGTTTTGGGGAAGGCCCCCCCCACTCCCGAGATGCTCGGTGTATTTCATTTACTCGGCTGTGTAAAGGTTCCCTTTCTTGTAGTTTCTAGGGACCCCTATTCTAAGACAACTATATACATGTTCTACGGAATTCTCCAGCCGATCGTGCACAGCCTATCAGAAACACACCAAGACCACCAGCACCCCACCAGCAGCAGAAGCACCACATCCCTTTGTCTTCGTCGACTCCCCCCTCACGCGCCACGCGCGGTTCGGCGTGCGCCTTGCAGAGATCCGCTGCTTCTCTAACGCCAGCTGCCGCTGCCTTTTCGGGCCGGCGGTGAACATTTGAGGTGTGCAACTGCTGTGGAGGATAATCCTACAGGGGTTCCCATTCCGAGTGGATTGTATTACGATGGATGTGAAAGTCGCTATGAACGGAGTCGAGAACATCGCCTGACCAGGAAGAAAGTTGGCTAAGCTGTAGTCGACCGACAATCATTGAAGTAATTTGAAGTCCCCGTTCAGAAAACAACCCAGCAATCACAACCAATCAACCAATCAAGAGAAACCAAACCCAACCCAAAACCAAACCAATCAGTAAACCAAGACAACAAACCAAACAAAAATAGGAACCGAACAAAATAGGCTTCTTCCATCTTTCAGACCGAAAAAAGAATACGTCACTCGCCAGACCGAGACCAGACGACCAGACGGACCTCGCTCGCCTCACAGCGAGAAACGACGATCTCGACGGTCGGACCTCGTCATTTTCTGCTGCAAAAGGGCTGCGCCTGGCGTCGGACGGTCGGACGGTCGGAGGGCTACGACGTTGTTTGCTCCACCATATCAACCTGGAGCTGTTTAACAGGCTCTTTTGGTGGATCTAGGAGATCTGAAGAAGTCAGAGCAGCTCTGAGACATGATGAAAGCATGTGAGTCATGTTCCGAGCAGTGACACCAATGATGTAGTTGCTACTCAAAGTCCAACATGGGCCAGGAAAAGGAGTGCTGTTAGGTTCGAGGCCATCGCTAGTAGGTTGGAGGCCATCGCTATTAGGAAAAGGAGTACCTGGAGTCCTGGTGCGAAAACCTGGAGTCACTCACTACAACAATACCGGGCATACCCAATGTGATGGGTGGAAGTGACTTCTTTGCCGGTCCATTTTCTGGATGGTCAATTCTTGTCTTCTCATGTTTTCCCCAACCACACCCGTTTCCCCAGTCGCGAGCGATCAGAACCAGCAAGCGAAGTGAATCTCGGGTTTTCGGCAGCGAAAAAGCAAAGAAAAGAACCACCTGGTCTTTGTGGACACATCCAACCGATTAGACGTAGACTGTTGATGAATAAAATGCCCCATATGGGGAGGTTTTATGACGCAAATGGGAGGGGTTACCAAGCAGTCTACATTACTGGATGTGCTTGAGTGATTTTCAGGGAGGGTGCGATAGGTGATGTCCAGAACCGAGAGCGGCCCGACAAAAAAACGCCTCCATTCGGAGGGCCACCCTCTCGCCTAAGTCACCGGGTTGAGAAACCTGGAATAGGGTCAAGTACACCCAGTAAGATTGATGGAACCTGATGGCATGGACCGCAAGACGATCTTTCCTTACAGTTCTCAGGTTCCATGTGGACCTCTTCCAGGGCATATGCAACAATATGCTACTAGGGGCTCCTGGCATCGCTACTAGGAGCAAGGACGCTACTAGGGGCTCCTGGCATCGCTACTAGGAGCAAGGACGCTATTAGGGGCTCCTGGCCATATGCAACACCTTTTGGTGGAAGACATGCACAAACCCAACTGGAGCCCTCCCCTTGTACATGGTCAGCTTGCCCAGATCCGTGCATGAGTTCTTCTTGCCATGAGGATTCAGGAAACGAACACCGCAAGAATCAGCATGAATTGCCGAAAAAACTTCCAGCGCAGTGTGACTTTTGATCTGTCATCTCCTCCGCTGGGGTATCGATTGGAACTTTCCTCTGACAAGAGGCCTTTCCACATAGACAAGGATGGTATAAAGGATGTACTGTGCAGGGTCTGTTAGGAACAAAGACTCTGAGCCGATGCACTGTGTTTCTGGGTGTTTTGTTTTGACATGTTTTGACCCATGGCCGCGTGCCGGCGGGTCAACAAGGTTCCCTCAGCAAGCTGATCAATAAGCACCCCAAAGTAGAGCGAGGTTTCAGGAGACTGCCCATATCCATCTGAGTTTGCTGTGAGCTGTGTACTTCCTTGCATGTGATCCTCACTCAAAGCGAACAACAAATACAATCATCAAGGTCCCTCATGCAACATGTCATTGCAAGTCACTACCCAGACCATCTGTGTAAGACATGGCTAGTCATGGCTAGTCTGGTGGAACTCCTGACCAGTCTCTCACGGATCCCGCCCCTCCAAGCTCGGTACAAGGGCGGTGGCACCGGCCCATCCTCACATGCACAGCGACGTCTCAGACGCTCAGTCTTGCTTGGTTTACGGTCACAACACCGTGGTCGCAGTGGTCGCTGGTGTTTTTTGTCCCTGGGGTGGTTTCTTGGTGTCTTACGGTTGAGAGATGAAATTCAGAGTTCGGGTTTGGGTACACATTGAAACCGGGACTACTGGGTGTCAACTCTCTGGTGGATGGTCGTTCAACACGTGCTACCAATGAGCCTCTTCAATGACGGGAGAGTGTCCCAGCACAAAACCTGAACAGGCACTCTGCAAAGAACCAGCTTCGAGCATCAAGCAACAAGCATATTTCATGTTCGGTCCAACACTGTTGTATCAAGGAACTGTTTGTACCAGGCAACCGGTTTGTTTTTCGGTTGTGTTGCTACAAACATACTTAAACCTCGAGCCTCCAGGAAAACCCCCCACCAGGTTCCCCGGGCAAAGGCCACGCCACCCATCATCTTGCCCGCGCCCTGCATGCGCATCTGCTATCACACCGAAGGGCTCTTGCCCGCTCTGCCATGCTCGCAGTGGGCAAAAAGTGGAGTGAACATTGGAGGGTCCAACATTTTGGAGAATCTGATAGACCGGCAACCCTCAAAATATAACCATATCAATAAGATCTGTAAACATCCGGTAAAACAATCATATCGAATAATATACTGTTTGGCCTAACGTGGTGAAGGGGTGTCAAGAATCGGATGCATCGGTGATAGCCCCGCGTGGGTACGATCTGAGGCGCTGTTTGAGACCACTCTGTCATCATGGCCACAGCTTTAACCAGTAATCCTTCAGCTGTCACTGAATGAAAGCCTGGCATGAAGCCAACCTGGTACTGTACTCAAATGCATCTTCTTGAACATGGATTCAAATTCTTGGCTCCATGGCGCCAGCCAGTGATTCAGCTTTGTGAGAAACCAGTCACCTCCCCAAGGCCCTTTTGGGAAACACCCAAGGTGCCATGACTCCAAACCTCAAGCGACGTGTGAAAAGAACCCTTACGGGTACTCTGGTCGGAGGCGTTGGGCCAACTGGAACTCGAGAAGCTGCAAATAGCTTGAGGAGGGCCAAGTATATACTGAGAAGAGGAGGGCCAAGTACTGAGAACAAAAGGTTCCCAAGGACGAAAATCGTGAATTCACCACAATTCATCCACTTTCTTTAGATTGAAATCACCTATGGGCCTTTCAACCATGCAAACCTCTCAAACAGGCAAAGAACTCGGCGCAGGACCTGAAACTACACCGCTCTGCCAGTGACCGGGTTTCCTTGCTACCAGCAAGTGGCGCAGCACTTAAAACCCCAGTGATCCAGTCGAAAACCGGACGTGAACACAAGGAAAAAGAAACAATCACCCTGGCACTGCTACAAAAACCCAGAACACACAAAACAAGCAACAGAATCATCCGGAACCCGTCGCACTACCGGTGACCTTCCTCCTTTCTCCACCGGACACCCATCCGATGCACCTCCCAGAAGGCTAAGGCCGGGCCGGCCCACCGAGCCAAAAAGGGCGATCAAGACCGGTGGAGTCGAGCGGTTCTGTCGGATTTGCGGGGGGGAACTGTCCAAGGGTCTGAGAAACGAAAGACCCGGCCGCCATGAGGCCGCCATGACCTGTCCGACATCACCGTTTCCTTCACCCACCCCACGAGATGGGGGGCACCATGATGACCACGGGCCCCACTGACGGGTGCAAACCAATACTTTTCATTCCAAAGGGTGTTGCAGTGGTGTGCAATATTTTATCCTTAGCCCGAAACCAAGCTATCGAAATTTCGCGACTGACGATCCCATCGCGCACACCTTTGGACCGGCGTGGCGGATTTCCAGCCCTTTTGGATGTCCGGAGGTTGACGGCAAGTGTTGACGGTGCAACGCTTTGCTTGGAGGACCGAAATCCTGATACTGATGATACTGATACACGGAAAATTATCTGCAAGAGTCTCGGTGACTGTGTCAGCAACGCGGTGAAACGCGTTTCATCATGCCCGCACTGACTTGTCGTGATTTTCCAGAAAAACAACCATTCACTTTCAAGTTTGATTTTTTTGCAAAGCATTTGATCATGTGTTTGGCCTTGAACCATTACCTGATGGAATGTTCCTAGCTGAAAGCGGTCCTACCACAAGGACAAAAAGGGGTCCGACCACGGACCAAGGCGCGCTACGCGCGGTTTTCCCGCACGGCTCTCGAGCCCACCCTATGGGCAGTGAAAAAGGGTCAAACATGTGTCCATGGAGCCTCATGCTTGCATCCCATACACTTCCTGGCCCTTTTTCAGGTCAGGTGTAGGGATCATAGCGCACCGGAGGCTCCTCGGCATCCCACGGCCAGTTAAACTTGTTGGCCAGCTTCTTCAAGGTCGAAATGAATGCCACTTCATTGGCCTTCATCTCTCGGATCTTTTGCTCGAGGATCCTCTTGTGGACCTTTCTGCCCGCTTCAAACTTTGGGTCGTGCACCAATCGCCATTTCTGGCGTTCTGAAAAGAACTGAAGCAGCATCTTCCGCGCTCCTTGCTTGGTGAGCGCATCGCCAAGCTGCGCATGGCCTCCGACCCATCGGAGCTGAGTCTTGGCCTTCACGGCCTGTGCCACCGCGAGCGTCAGCTCGTAGCCCGCTCTGCTGTCCCTCAGCCCGTGTAGTGCGGACAGGTTCCTGGTCATCGCATCGTAGATGCCTATCGAGTCCATCACCAAGGCGCCGGGCACCGATTGCACCGCCAAGTGCAATTCATCTCTCTTCAACTCGATGCCCCCAAGCACTGCCAGGAGAAGTCGAATCTGGTAGTTCTGATCTTCTCCGATGGTGATCGACTGCACCTCAGCGCCGTTGCTTCCAAGGCATTGGCGTGGCGTTTTGCCACTCTTCCATTGAACCACCGCCACCTGGACTTCATGGCCTTCAAGGATCTCTCGCGGTGCAATGCCGCTGATGATGCCAACAGTGCTGGATCGATCCGGCCTGTTGTGTTGTGAGGCGTCAGCCCATGTCACCACGGCCAGGTCCTCCACCTTCTTCACATTCCAGGAGGACGGGAACAACAAGCCCTGCCCAGCATCACGCCGCATCTCGCGAACCAGCTTGTTCGCCTTGTAGAGCGTCTCGATGGTCGCGCTCCCAATCTCACTGAGGAGTAGGGACACTTCTGCCAAGAACTGAGGTCCTGACTGGGTGCTTCGCCAGCTCATAGTTCCCAAGGCTCCTCTCAACTGAGAGATCTCCTGAGGATTCAGGGAGGTCTTTCGGGCTTTGTTCTTGTCGATGTCGATCTCCTCAAGCCACTTGAGCGAATAGGCCTCTTGGTTGAGGACGATGCTCATGTCTTTGCCCTGCCGGAGTGAACAGCCGGCGAACTCGAAAGCTTCCTCCTCCCATTTTCCCCATCGGAACGACTTGGCCAGGATCTCCTCACGGCTCTTGTAGTAGTCGGACTGCAAATCAAAGCGGTCATCACCTCCACACATCTCTCATACCACTTGCGGGGTGCATGAGCTAGCCCATAGAAGGCTTCTCGAACTCGAAGGGCTCGGAGGTCACCAGGCTTGGCACCGAAGAGAGCTGCAAGCTCCGGCGGTGCAAGGACGTTCAGCTCCTCGGACTCCAGGTTCGTGCCAGTCTGCAAAAAGGCAGACGTCACGTCACCGCTCTTGACGGTGAGGTGTAGCCCTGCCGCTGCCGTCAGCAGCAGGTTCCTCCCCAACTTTGACATCGTCGGGCTCGATGTCTCTACCTCCGTCAGGTTGTGGGCTTGGAACCTGAGGACCACCAGCCGAGCCTTCGCCGAGTTGTCGGCTTTCCTCGTGAGCACCCATCGCATCTGCATGACCTTGGATGGGTCGAGCTTTGCCTCCTCCGCGGCCGTGAGATTCCGCAAAGCGCGGCTGATGGCCACCTGAGAAAGCTCCTTGGCCATCGCCATGTCGAAGTCCTTCTTCTGGTTCAGCGGAAGCCGCATCCAGTCCACCTCCTTGCCTTTCTCGGCCATCTTCTTGCTCAGCCACACGGTGCCCCGTCGGCGGTGCCGATTCTTGGCCAGCCACTCGAAGTCATCCTCGTCAACATCCAGGGTGAACACCACAAAGGTCTCCTCCTCCGGCTTATTGGGGTCATTTGGCTTGGACTTGCCATGCTCCTCCGCCGGGCGAAGTTCATCTGAGCTGTCAGAGCCAATGTCAGAGGGCTCTGAGATCGAACTCGAGGATGAGTCCTCCTCCATCTCTTTCTCCCCTGAGGTCGGTGCTCTTCGTCCTTCATAGAGGTCGTAGATGAAGGTCTGACCATTGCGGTCTTGATGATGCCCATCATGGCCACCAGGCAGGTCGCACTCTGGCACTGCGCACCTGTTCACCCCTGATTCACCTCGGAGTGGCATGTCATCCACCATCTCGGGACCACGTTCATGTAGTGCAGCTTGAAGACCCGTAGGGAGGTCGGTCGATGCGCTCGCCTGTTCTTGTAGTGGAAGTTCTCCAGCACCGTGGCCGTCAGATTCTCCCGGATGTCCATCATCCTTGGTCACCTGCTTGTCGGCCTTGCGCTTAGAGCCTCGGCTTTCTACCTTCTTCACTTTCTTGGCCGGTTGATCCATGGATTTCAGCTCAAAATGAATCTCGCCAGTCCACCGGTCCGGAAGGTTGCGGACCACATCCACCGTATCCGCTATGACCACAGGATCACCTGGAGGTAGTCCGTCTCCTCGCCGTAGAGGTTGGACATGTGTAGTCCTCTTGCCCGTGAGATCGTCAATGCTGACAGGGCAGTTCGTGGCTCGAAGCGGATTGAAAAGTCCAAGACGCGGAAGATGGTGATGTCGGATGAGAACTCTCTCGCCGCCGTCCTGCCTCAGGGTCCAAGTGTCATTCTTGTTCTTCTCGGATGGCTCCTGCAGGACAGTCGATGGAGTGAGGTCAGCCATTTGCCTCTCTTCGGAAGGGACGTCTCCAGACAGGTCTAAGTAGTATCGCCGAGAGCTCACCGAGACAGGCTGCCTAAAGATGGCTGCTCCTTCCATCACGGCTCCAAGTTCTTCCCGCCTTGAGACAGGCCGTATTTGGTTGACCTTGGCTCGAACCAAAGTAGAGCCAGAACTCATCCAGGCAGTCGTGCCCTCCATGAGGATGATGCGGACCGGGCCGCTCCAGTGCCCCTTCACCTTGCCGGGCTTGACCTTTTGGCGCCACACCATCACCAGTTGTCCATTCTTGTACTGGGTCACCCGTCTGCCAGTGGAATTTGCCAGTCGGCTGAAGCGATCAGCTGCTCGTTCTTTCTCGAAGGCCAGCTTAGCACGTTCTCTCTCCTTCACAAGTTGATTGAAGGCCTTCCGAGGGTCGATGTTCTGCAGCAGCTGCTCATCGTCCAAAACTCCTCCGCCATAGCCAAAGGCCCACTGGAAAGCACTGAACCCGCTGGGTCCGATGTGAGAGTTCATAGCGCTGGCCGCCATGGTATAGAGCTCGGGAATCTTGAGGCGACTTCC